TCAATAGAAAACGGATAGGTTAGAATCACGAAGACAAAAGAAAAACTGAAATCCAAAATTGTAAAATCTGTCAGAAAAGTACATGAAGGATAGGATAGGATAGGATAGGATAGGATAAGATAAGATAAGATAAGATAAGATAAGATAAGAAAGAAAGAAAGAAAGAAAGAAAGAAAGAAAGAAAGAAAGAAAAAAGAAAGAAAGAAAGAAAGAAAAGAAAGAAAGAAAGAAAGAAAGAAAGAAAGAAAGAAAGAAAGAAAGAAAGAAAGAAAGAAAGAAAGAAAGAAAGAAAGAAAGAAAGAAAGAAAGAAAGAAAGAAAGAAAGAAAGAATTACAAATGTACAGAAATGTGCAGAAAAAGACGCATAAAATGAAAACAATAAATAAAAAGAAAAAACGTTCAGGGAAGAAAGGAAAGATGATATGGAGGCATAAAGAAAGAATGAAAAAAAATGTGAAAACTTCTTTAAAAAGAAAGAGGTAAAATTTGAAAGAAAATGTATTTTTATTTTGATAAAAACAAAACAAAAAGAAAACACCGGAAGAAAATATCAACTAAGAATGAAACGGAACTAAAATAGAAATGAAAAAGTCTGGAGAGGAGGCGAAGAGGATTGAGCTGTTTGAAGAAAAAGAATGAAAAAAGGAAAAAGAAGAAGAATCAAGGAAAATAGGAAGACAGAAAAAAAACAACAAAAAGGAAAAGAATAAAGAAAATAAAAAAATAATAATAAAAACGAATAAATAAGAAAGAGAAAATAAAATTTTTAAAATATGGAAAAGAAAATTAATTTCTTTTCTGATCCTTTTCCAAACGAAGTAGAGAAAGATGGAGAGAAAGAGAAGAGAAATAAGAAGGGGAAAAAGGAAAGAGAATATAGGAGAAAAAACGGAAAAAGAAAGAAAAGAAGACGAAAGAGAAGAAAAAGGAGATAAAAGAAGATGGTTGGAAGAGAGAAAGAGCGAAACAGTAAAGTGAAAGAATGAAGAAGTAAATACATGGAGGGTGATAAATAATGGTGACGTAAAAGGTGGAGGAGGAAATAAGGGAAGAAAGAAGCAATTAATAATAATAATAATAATAATAATATTCTAAAAATGTAAAAGATGATAGAAGACAGTTAAGAACAAAAGAAGGTATAGACATAAGTGGAAAATGCTTTTATGACGAATAAATAGATAAATAAGTGAAGAAATAAGGAATGAAGAATGGAAGAAAGAAAGGAAAAAGGAAGGAAGAAAGGAAGAAAGAGAGGAAGGAAGAAAAGAAGGAAGGAAGCAAGAAAGGAAAAGGAAGAGATAAAGAAAGAGAGGAAGGAAGAAAGGAAGAAAGATAGAAAGAAAGGAAGGAAGGAAGGAAGATAGAAAGAAAGGAATGAAGGAAGAAAGGAAGGAAGGAAGAAAGGAAGGAAGGAAGGAAGAAAGAAAGAAAAGAAAAGGAAGAAAGAAAGAAAGAAAGAGGAGGGAAGAGATAAAGAAAGAGATGAAGAAAGAAAGAAAGGAAGGAAGAAAGGAAGAAAGAAAGGAAAAAGGAAGAAAGAAAGAAAGAAAGAGACGAAGGAAGATAGGAAGGAAGGAAGAAAGGAAAAGGAAGAGATAAAGAAAGAGAGGTAGGAAGAAAGGAAGGAAGGAAGAAAGATAGAAAGAAAGGAAGGAAGGAAGAAAGGAAAAAGGAAGGAAGAAAGAAAGAAAAAGAGGAAGGAAGATAGGAAGGAAGGAAGGAAGGAAGGAAGAAAGGAAGAAAGAGAGGAAGGAAGAAAAGAAGGAAGGAAGGAAGAAAGGAAAAGGAAGAGATAAAGAAAGAGAGGAAGGAAGAAAGAAAGGAAGAAAGAAAGGAAAAGGAAGAAAGAAAGAAAGAGGAGGGAAGAGATGAAGAAAGAGATGAAGAAAGAAAGAAAGGAAGGAAGGAAGAAAGAAAGAAAGAAAGGAAGAAAGAAAGAAAGAGACGAAGGAAGATAGGAAGGAAGAAAGGAAAAGGAAGAGATAAAGAAAGAGAGGAAGGAAGAAAGGAAGGAAGGAAGAAAGGAAAAAGGAAGGAAGGAAGAAAGAGAGGAAGGAAGAAAAGAAGGAAGGAAGAAAGGAAAAGGAAGAGATAAAGAAAGAGAGGAAAGAAGAAAGAAAGAAAGAAAGAAAGAAAGAAAGGAAGGAAGAAAGGAAAAAGGAAGGAAGAATCAAAAAGGAAGGAAGAAAGAGACGAAGGAAGATAGAAAGGAAGGAAGAAAGGAAAAGGAAGAGATAAAAAAGAGAGGAAGGAAGAAAGGAAGGAAGGAAGAAAGGAAAAGGAAGGAAGAAGGAAGAAAGAAAGAAAAAGAAAGGAAGGAAAAAAAGGGAAAAGGAAGGAAGAAAGAAAGAAAGGGAGGGAAAATAGGAAGGAAGGAAGAAAGAAAAAGGAAGAGATAAAGTAAGAGAGGAAGGAAGAAAGGACGGAAGGAAGAAAGATAGAACGAAAGGAAGGAAGGAAGAAAGAAAGAAAGGAAGAAAGAAAGAAAGAAAGGAAAGAGATGAAGGAAGAAAGGAAGGAAGATAGGAAGAGCAAGAAAGCAAAGAAGAAACAAAGAAAGAATGAAAAGAAGAAAGAAAGAAGAGCATAGAATGTAAAAAAGTCAAGTAAATGAAAGAAAGAAAGAAAGAAACGAAAAAAATATGAGAAAATCGAAACAAAACAAAGAAATAACGAAAGAAAGAAAGTAAAGGTTGAAGTCAAGAAAAAGATTAAAATGCTTTAAAAAAGGACGAAAAATGGTTTCCTGAAAAACAATTTGAAAACAGAAAAATGATGAAAATGTTTGAAATTAAAAGATAAAAAAATTATAAGAAAACAAATGAAATCAAGTCGAAGTAAATCGATAAGAACGCGTAAAGTTTGATCGTTTCACGGCAATGATTTTCCTGCTTCATTGATCACGTGGTAAAAGGCGAGTTACATGTCGGCTGGATTGATCAAGAGGCACAAAACTCGTAAACAATTCATGACCAAGGTGATGAAAAATAAAACGCTCAAATAGCTGCATGTTGTTCACAATTTGTAAACCAAACCAATTCACTTCAGCACTAAGCTTGTATGTGCAGTGTCCATTCAGGACCTGGCTGACTATAGCTCTTCACAACCTCCCATCTTTTGTATCACTTAGCAACATTTACACTTTTACCAATCCTCCTACCTACCATTCAGCCATCCATTCACAAAAGCTCGTCACCCTCCAGTCCGTTTTTCCTTTGACTTCTAAGAGTCTTAAATTTTCCAAGTTTTCACTCATTGTTTCCAGAATGTTCAGCTCTTTCTTCCTGATTCTGAGTAGAATTATCTTTTTTGTCCGTATTTAAGACTTCTTCATTGCTTATTTGCAATGGTATCCTTCTCGGAGTATCTTATATTGTTAAGAATCTGTACTTAGCACTCAACTAAAATGTCTATATGCTTGAAAATGTGTCTTCACTAATGTGTCTACAGGGTTTCCTTTTCGAATGCAAGTGGCAAATTTTAATACCAAACTATATACCCTATGTATAAATATCATCGATAAGAATTATTGGACGATCAGACCTGATAGAAAATCTATCTGACATAAAACTATCCAATACAGAATTATAAGCTTTTAGCTTTAGAGTAAAATTTTCCACCGGGATTCACAAAACAGATAGTCGAAAATATAAATATCATATTTACATTGAAGAAACTGAAATTGTTTAGCTCTTTCCTTTAAAAAAAGCATTAACGTTTTCGACGGAGTGGGTTTGTCCTGTAGAAACATCTCACTGGGTTCTCCATATGTCTCCCTTAATTGCATCATTTTGAAGCAGAAGTTAGCAAATTAGTTTTGCATCGTATTTAAAAACATGTCTCTTCAGGGTGTAGGGGATTATAACTGCTAGAGATTCTTTTAATTTAAAATGACTCTTCAGGACGTACACGATCATGACTCTCCACTTTCTCTTTTACTTTAAAATGTCCAGTCAGGGCGTAAGGAATTATGATTGTCTACGACTTCTTTTACTTTGAAAGTCCCTTATGGACGTAGGCGATCATGTCTTGACACACGTTTCTTTCTTCACTTATTATTTAGTAACTGACATGATTTCTTGAAAAGATAGCGAAATGCTCTCCTATTATCATTTTCATGGTTTCGAATTCAATGCAGTCTTACTTCAAGACTTGCTATCACACAAGTCTAGAGAGCTAAGTCTACCCTTCTATTTAATCCATACAGTCTAGGCTGAAATTTGATTTTCATTACGCTATTCTTTACAGGGAATTACTATTTATATTAATCCTTACTGGGCGCCCTACACCTGTAGTCTTGTGCCAGATTAATCTAAGCCAAATAATTCACACTGTTTCTTAGATTTTGGTTTCTTAGATGTAGTGAATCCTCACTGAATACTCAATTCATTTAGCCTCGTGCCAGAATAAGCTAATAATTTGACATTCATTGTAGTGAATCCTTAGTGAATACTAAATTCGTTTAGCCTTGTGCCAGACTAAGCTAAAATATTTTCGCCATTTACGGAGAATACTACATTTGTGACTAAACGCTGAATATAACAATATTAACCTTCGTGGTTTTGCACAAAAGAGGGACGATTCAAATGTATATTTATACAGAAAAAAATACTTCAGAATTACGGTACTTCGTATCCGTAGCCAATAAGTGAAGAATCCTCACAATTTCACTTCTCATTTTTTTTCCTTTCAGAGAATTTCGAAACTGGCGAAAAGGAAGTGGCCGCGTTCAATGAACGCAAGAAACAAAATTAGTTTCGTTAACTTTTTGTAATCGTTTTAGTTTTATTGTTTTGTTTTTTTCCCAGAATAATTTTTTGTAAAAGTTTTTCTTTTTCTGATAAGAATAAAAAGACATGGATAAGTTGTGAATAAAGTTAACAAGAACCAATCAACTCGGTTTGCAAGCAGTTGCTAATCTTCTCTGCTAAAGCATAACCCTACGTTAGAGATATCTCATTTCGGTAAAATACTGATGCATAAATATCAGTGAAGACATCTTTTTTTTTTTTAGAGGAGAATACTTGGCATTGCCCGGGTCTTTATTTTGCTTGATTGAGTGATACAGTCTTCGAGATTTGCAGTTGACGGAAAACCATTTTTTGGAAATTCAAATTGGTCTTTGTGTCACACGCTTCTACGGGAGTCCATGGAACATAAGTATTCGTCCTTCTGCATTCATACTGCTCTTTATGATATTACACTGGTCACGAAGATGACATTTCTTGCTCCAGTGTCACATTGTTCTTGCCATATTCCCGGTTAAATTTCTCCACACGCTCTCTTCATCAAAAGCCAGATGATGAGGTTAGTTATGTGGCTCATTAGGCTTTCCCACAGGAGCTCGCTTTCATTTGCCAATGGCAACGCAGGCAACGCTATAATGATGGATCTACTAACATTTTCCGGTATTTCGCCAATGTCATATACTTCATTTATTATTTCCGATATCTTGTCGATGATATCCAGTAAGAGGATCTAGTTAAACGCAATAGAGAGGTTCTATGCGGATGATAAAACCCATGGATAATAGCAAACTATATATATATATATATATATATATATATATATATATATATATATATATATATATATATATATATATCTTTATATATATATATATATATATATATATATATATATACAGCGTATAAATGTTGTCGCTATAGTGCAAAAAGCCCTTTTGATGACAGAGGTGACGAAACTCTCTCAGTACGAAATATATTTGTCTTAAGTGGAAAAACAATTGTAAAAACGAAATGAATTAGACAAAATCATTTCAGTAATCAATGAACGAAATTTAACACATTATTTTTTTAATTTGAAATTTGTTTTAATCATTTCATCACAAGCAAGGCAATAAAGCCGCAAAGACACAAGAATTTACTGAGTGTGAGAGAATATTCGAAAAAGAAAACCTTATAAGGAGAGAGAACAAATAAAGAACAGAAATTAAGCAGACAGAAGATAACGATTGACGTTGCATTTAAATTTTTGAAGATCAAAGCTTGACTAGGACGCAAGAAGAGAGTTCCACAACAGAGAAGTGCGAGAAAAGAAACTGTTAGCATAGAACTTACGGTTAAGTCTAACTATTTCAGCTATAAAATGATGAGATTTTGTTGTCTCTTCATCTGTGAGTAAAGCTCACGAAAACATTTTGCCTGGAAAATATTTATATAAAAGGCAAAGAGAAACTCCGTTACGGCAGTGGGAAAGTGATCCCATTAGGATTTGATAAAACAGACCTATATGGACTTGAGAAAATTTTAATATAAATTATTTTTGCAGATGTAAAAAAATCCTATTATGATTAAAGATTTATACCTGTCTTTTTGTTTATATCTTTCTTTATGTGACATATTTTGAAACTTAGTTTTATTTCATTAATTTTATGAACATAAAAGAAAAATGAATACGCAGTTGGTGAATCCGTGATAGTGAATTCTCGGATAGCTGAATTTATATTGTAATATTGTATGTGGAAATAATTGAAAAGGAATTCAGAATTAATAAATGTGTTCCAACGAGATTTGAACTCAGGATCCTCAGGTTATATATATATATATATATATATATATATATATATATATATATATATATATATATATATATATATATATATATATATATATATATATATATATATATATTGAGTAATATACATTATATTTCTGAATTCCATGTTGAGAATGGGGTTTCGTATCATGGGATTTCAATCATGAAGGGCTGTCCACCTGACAATCTTCGAGTCGGATTCCAGAGCCAGAGTTGTGTCATCTAAAAACATTTACCTTTCAGTCAATAACATTGTTGGCTGGAACGACATTTGACGTCTGTTGTTTTTGGTAAACAACTTGCAGGTTTGGTTCCATAGTTATGCTCAGAGTCTGGCTCTTCCTTACTCTATCATTGACTTTTAAAAATCGTTACAATAAGATAATTTTTAGCAGAAGAGCTCATTATTTCAAATCAAATCGAGTATATAAAACGATATACTTTTTGACATATAATAGGCGCTATATGTAGAAGAATGATGAGTAAGTTTATCTTTCAAAACATCACTGGGAAACTAATTTACTTAATAGTGATGCCTAACAGCAGAATCTCGCAAATGTTAGGTTGTGTGTTCGATATATATATATATATATATATATATATATATATATATATTCTGCTGTTAGGCATCACTATTAAGTAAATGAGCTTTTTTTTCCTAAACGAAGGTTAGTTTGAGACAAATTTCGAATCCAAGTTGAATCCATTACATTCACTTACGTGCTAATACCCTTAGGAAAGGTGTGGATCTTTCTTCTCCCTCCAGCTATGGGTAAAATAGCAGGGCAGACTAGGTTCTATAGCCTTGGATGGCAACTGGTCTAGGAGAAGGACAACTCTGAATTCAAAACCTGAGGAGGGTTGTTTGGGAACCTTGTGGCACGTAGTGCACCAGGTTTCTGTATTCGGCCCTTCAAAAAGTGTGGATGGTCCTGCACGAAACCTTCACCACTATAATCGAATCTCAAGTGCCGGTGTCGGGCTGTCAGTTTCCTGGAAACTGATCTGCTTGACCCTCATACGTCGAACC